GATACTTGGCGAAGCTTATATCCTAGCGGGAGGGACTATACCTACTTGTCACCAGTACATCACACATATTCACGCATCGATATGTGTCTGGTCGACGCAATAACACTGCAAAATGTAGCGGACGTGGTGATTGGGAATAGGACATGGTCAGACCATGCCCCGGTCACCACCACATTCAAAACTCTATACCCTGTGAGAGGTAGAAGCTCATGGAGATTGAATCACTCCCTACTAAACGAGGCAGGCCTACAAACAAAACTAGCCAACACTATTAAGCTATTCTACCAAGACCATGCGAATGATGAGACCACCATCCCAACACAATGGCTGGCCCTCAAAGCAGTGCTCAGGGGCCTCCTTATACAAGCAGGAGCGAATCGCAAAAGAAAGGGCAATCAGGACAAATAGCGCCTGCTAGAGGAACTCACACGAATAGAGGCTAAAAACAAACTCAACCCACCAAAAAAATTGATTAAACAAATTAACAAAATAAACTCAGAACTACATGCATTAGCCCTAACCACTATGGAAAGACAAATGCGTAAACTCAACCTAACTCATTACATGCAGGGTAATAAGGCAGGCAAATCATTGGCACGTCGCTTGAAAACACACTATCTGCAGTCTAAACTACCATACATGACTTCAGCTACCAACCACAAGCTATACAATCCCCAAGATATAGTAGAGGAACTAGCCTCCTACTATGACAGCTCTACAACTTACATAGAGCAAATGACACACACCAGCCATCCAAGGACGAAATCCTTGATTTTCTAAGTAGTGTAGACCTGCCCCTCCTAACAGACGCTCAAAAACTATCCCTTCAATCACCATTTACAGAGGAAGAAGTGCACAAGACCATTAGCTCACTTCCCAAACGTAAGGCACCAGGCCCAGACGGATTCCCGAATTCCTTCTACATAACGCTTATCACACAACTAACGCGGCACCTCAACAAGATATTTAACCACATCAAAGACTCTGGGAACATCCCGTCCGAAATGCTCCTAGCACATGTAATAACACTTCCGAAACCAGGGAAGCCCCCAACAGAATGCGCTAATTTGAGACCAATCTCTTTATTAAATGCTGACACCAAACTGTACGCAAAGCTCTTAGCTACACGCATCAAGCCGTTGCTACTAGATATGGTCTCACAGGAACAAGCTGGGTTTGTCCCAACCAGACAACCAGGAGATAACACATGCCATTTCTTGAACCTGATTCAATGAGCACTAAATACCCAACAACAGGGCATGTTACTAGCACTCGATGCTGAAAAGGCATTTGATCGCCTAAATTGGTCTTATATGTCCGCAGTTATGACCAGAATGGGGTTCCCCCCCCCGTTCCAAAAGAGCGTAATGGCCCTGTACTCCAACCCTTCGGCTAAGGTATATAACACCGGCTTCCTTTCCAGGCCATTCCAAATAGCTAACGGCACCAGGCAAGGCTGCCCCCTCTCCCCGCCGATATTCATCCTTTGCCTAGAACCGCTGATTAAACATATCAAAACACACGATCAAGGGATTACACACACCGATAGGGACCATGAAAATTGCTCTATTCGCAGACGACATCCTGCTATTCATTATTGAACCCTCTCAATCCATCCCCAATTTACTGGCACTTTTGGACAGGTATGGCAAGGTGTCATACTATAGGAATAATGCAAAAAAATCACAAGCCCTAGCTATCCGCCTGCCACACCACACACTACAAACCCTTAAATCCGAATATCCATTTGACTGGCGTAAATCATCGATCTCGTATCTAGGTATTCAATTACCTGCCACACCCACTTTAGTAACAAAAGGGAATCATATCCCACTTTTACAGAAACTAGATCTCCAACTCAAACAATGGGATGATAAAGGATCCTCTTGGCTGGGTCGCATAAACACTATTAAGATTATGCCACACATCTTATACCTCTTCCGTACCTTGCCGATAGCGATCCCAAACACGATAGTGAAAAGATTCCAATCAACCATAAACGCACATATCTGGAAGAGAAAACCCCCACCCCCCCGGTTCTGGAGACCCTTCTCGGAAGGAGGCCTCAGTGTGCCCAATGTTCAGCTATAGGCACAGGGCCTAGCGGTCCTGGAAGGTACGGCACCTCCCATCTGGCTGGCACTAGAAAATGCCTGCATGACACAAGGAACGGTGGAAGATGCCCTATGGGCATATTCAGACCGGCAGATAAAGGACATTAATATATTACCCCCGACAAAACTGTTGCTCCGTATATGGAGACAGACGATCCTAAAATTGGATATAGGCAAAGACCTCATGTACGCCACACCCCTGCAATCACTAACACTCCACACATATGATCTATGCCTCAACACATGGGTACGACATGGCATTCTCCATGTGAGAACCCTGTTCGATGATGCGGGAGTGGCACGTTTCCCAACACTACAACAGACCTTCACCCTCCCGTCTAGGGAACTATTCACATACCTTCGCATAAAAAACATCTCACATGATCATAAACTACATAGTGGCAGGCATTCCCCATTGCCACGATTTCTCC